TTAGTACCTGGATGGGTGACCAAAACATTATACCTACTTAACTTCTTTTTCAGATTTTTTTTGTTTTTGTTGTTGCTGTTGTTGTAACCTTCATTTAATTATACAATTCGTTTCAGTTGACAATCGGCACAATGCTTTTAAGATGCAGCAACTTATCTAACCGTTGAAGCAACTCGATCATTTTCTTATAGTGCTGCAATGCAACTTGAGTCTAACATGCAGCAGTTGGGTCGTTTCTAAGTGTAGCACTAGATTCGTAATCGTCTAACTTGCTGCATTTATATATCCCTAATGGGCCATCGTCGCTAGCTTTCCCTGACCGCACTTTTAATTTGAAGCCGGAAAATTTAGTGCTTATCTTCCTTTCTAATATTTGCATCTATTTTTAAAAGGTATTCCAAGACCCAAGAATACTGAGCTGGAATGACTTGTGTTTTTTATTATTCCTCGTCAGGAACCGCACAGAGGTTAGTGTTGAGATTTTCAGTTTTACTTGAAGTCCACTGACAAAGCCAAAAACTTAAATGACCGATAATTCCTTTTGGTCTTCGAAAGATCTATTGCATACCTCTCTTTTTGCACATGCGCACTTAGTATTCCTCTTTTTTCCCTTCTAAATTGTTAAATAATGATATAATAATGTGTATCGGAAAACCCTTTTAATGTCAAGAAAAGAAAGACGATTCTAACCAGTATTTCTTTATTCTTTATTGAAATAATACAGAATGCTGTTTATCTGACAAGTTGTAATTTATGAAGAACAGTGAACTGAACTAATCTTGCTGATTATACACCGAATCAAAATATGGCGACCAATTTGAATAACTTTTGTTCCCGTGCATTGACTACCGACTGACAACCCTCTCATACATGTGAAAACACTTTTATGTTTCCACGTGAAAGCGAGGCTAGTCAGTCACTAGTCAGTGTCGAACAATAGTTATTCAAATTGGTCGCCATATTTGGATTCGGTGTATTACAGTATTTGCGCGATAATCTATGTACAGTTTAAAAATATCTTCGTTTACGGAATTGAAGCTCAGGTCTTATCTACCCGCCCATTCAGCTTTTCTTGGTCTAGTTTTCCAACATAATATATGTCACCAAGTGTTTGATTCAAACAATGGCAAAAAATGCTAGTTGACCTTGACAAGAAAGTCAAGATCAACCAATAAGAGGCTTAGGAATAATTATATCATATGCATATTTACATGGTTTTACGAGCTATGCAATAAAATATATCTTTGATACAAGACGAAAATGTATTTTTACAGCAAAAAAGGCTGAGAGAACAAATTATTTTGCTGCTTAATTGTTTCCACTTTCCTTTTTTGTTTTTACTATTTTCTTTCAATAAGCATAAACTATCCTATATTTATATTCCTTAGTTTTTGGCTTTAAGTCTAGGTCTCTCATATAAAATATGATTAATGGAAGCTTATAATCCGTCTATACAAAATTTTTTATAATTTTGTTTCAAGGCGATGAGTCATCGATGTAAACCCTCATGCAACTTGTGTCGCAACGCTGTTGCGAGACAAGTTGCAGAGAAAATTGCTCCGTGTAATCACACCTTTTAGTTATTTAGAGTTCAAATTTATTCTTTCATGCGGCAACTTCACTTTTAACACTGTGATTCGTCGTCTTTTTTTGGACTAATCATAACATATTCATTCAGTTTTCCTGGTTCCCTCTCAGTTGCCCCCACCTTCATCACTGGTGCACTTCGTCTTGTTGCAAGAGAAGGACGAGTCTGTGAGACCGGTTGGCTTATTTTTGTACCACTTAAAGTCCAGGCCTTGGTCCTAAAGGTAGGCTCTAGTTGATCTTGTTCTTCTTTTTCTCCGTGGTAGAAGGGGTCGATGAACTGCGCCTGCGCCAATGAGCTGTCTTCTTCTTTCCTTTTGGATGATTTGATTGGATGGTTGGCGCGGTTTTCAACGGTTTGCCGAGGTAAACTTTTAATCCGCTTCCATAAGGACTTTCGTATCGAGGCAGATTTAATTCTCTTAAATTCTCCACTGTGATCGAATTCTTTTGGGACGTAGAATAAGGGCATGGAGGGGAACTTACGCATTCCTTTTTCCATAGTATTTGTTACTAGTTCTTCTTCAGTTTGCAAGCCATCGCTGGAATGATCATCTTCATTTTTGGAGTCCGTGAAGTACTGCGGAGGTAAATCAAACAAGACCTTGCCATCTAAACTATCAGCCGAATTTCTTTTTTCGCGAGTTCTTAAATCATTTCTTTCTAATTCATTATCCGACAAAGTTATGTAGGCTAAATGGTCTTCGTCAAAGGCTGTTTTTGGGTGAGTTGCTGCCTTCCTGCGTACTACTTGTTCATGATAGGATTGTGGGAGTACTTTCTCGTTTTCGTCCTTTTTTATGTAGACAAAGTCAATTTTTAGGCCACTTTTTTCTTCTTCACTATCGCTTTTACTTTCTCTTTCTTTTGTTTTCTTTTTCTTTTGATCAGCTTGTCGTAGACATTCCGCAGCAAACGCATCAAGGGAAATGTCTTTGAATGTACCATTAGATTTTTTACTCTTGCTCTCCTGTGAATCCTTCGCTGTTGGTGGTTTAGGGGTGCGGTAACTCTTCATGGACCTTGGCTCTTTCATTTTAACAGCATCTTCAATTTCTTCCTTTATCCCAACAACTGGGTGGTTTTGTTTAGGAAATAGTTTTATATTTTCAGTCTGTTTTGTCTCGTTTGGAAAAGAACTATTGTCTTTTTTATCATAATATTTAGACTGTTGATTCCCCTGTTGACATTCACCTTCACCTTCATTTTGACTCGTTGACTCCAAAGAATAAACATGATTCCCTTCATTACCCATTTCCGATTCCAGATTAAGTTCTGGAGTCGTCGAAACCGCACACGTCTCCTCAGCCGATACACGTCCAATATTATTGTCACAGTTCATAGCATCCTTCGTTTTGCAACTCTCTGCCGTCCAATTACAACATAAATCTTCGGTTTCTGCTGATTTTCCATCGACGCTATCATAACTCTCTTCCAGTTCACTGTTCGTTTCATAATGTTTGGAGCTCCCTGAGCCAGCACTGCCGCTTGAAGATCCACACTTTTTTAAACGATACTCATTTTGTCGCACGCTTTGAGAACAATTGCAATCTATATCAACAGGTCTACCAAACACTGACCCCGTATATTTCAGCGACACTTTTCGACTTGCTCGCGTATTTGTAGCCTCGATTGACTCTCCTGTTTGAAATTCTTCGTCTGAACTCTTTCGGGAGCTGCGTCCGCCACAGCTTGAGACAAGTTCTTCCAAAGCATTTTGAAGTTCACGCATCTCTCTCGTCTCGTTTGATATCATTCGGTTGTCTCTTCTTAATGCAAGTATATCAGATAGGTCGTCACTCGAACTTGTAGATTCAAAGCTCCCTTGTCTTGAATCATGAAATCCCGCGGTTTTGTCAACCCACCTGTCAAGACGTGCTTTAACATCTCTAACAACCTTATCATGACTGCTTGATGTTTTTAACTTCTCATTGAGTCTATTAGCTCCATTAGAATCGATTTTAGCGCCCAATGTCTGAGCTCTCGCTCGATTGTTTGCTTTGCTTGAAGCTTGAGAGCTCCTTGAGTTGTTATGAATATTGTAATTAATGTCCACATCAGATGGGTAGCTTTCTACACTTCCTTCAGTATCTTGGCTGTTTGTTCTCGTTACACGACATTTTGAAGGAGTAGGTTTTGATTTTGACCTCAATGTCTCAGAGTTCTGAATTATTTCAATCAATGAACTCTCAGACTTGCTGCAACTTCTTCTTAAGGTTCCGGCACTTCCAACGGTATTTTTCTCTCTCTGTGGCCTACTCGTTTCATCTCTAGACGCTCGCCTCCGCCTTGGCTCCAAAAGAACTTCTTGCTGCAAATTCATCTTCTTTGCTTCCTCGGATGTTTTCCTACAGCTTTGATCGATTGTATGCAAGTAGTTTTCAGAATCAGGCATCACAACTGGAGTACTTCTTGATCTAACATGGACTGGTACTATCTTAGTCTGGCAGTTTTGACGATCGTTCATATCCGGCGGATTAGGCTTGTACATTGTTTGAGATACATCAGAGTTGCGGCGACTTCTCTTGCGTTCGCGTATAGATAGACTTGCCCGGTTGACCCATTTCTGCAATCCACCGTATAGATTCGACGAAATGGCTGGCATATTTTTCTCCTTGACTGAGGCTGCCATTTATGTCAAGAGTGAACAAACATTTATTTGTCAAGAGCACTGGAGTTCATGAAATTTGAATTTATTACTTGCTGCAATGAGTACACAAGTTCTCGCAAACTCTCGCACAAATTGCCCACAATTCTTGATTCCTTTTTCTTCTTCTTGGGGAATTTTCTTAGTAAATCATCTTTTCTATCTTCGCTTGGAATCAGCTTTCTTTATTCTACAATAATAAGGAATAAACGACAATTAACTCGGTGAGATTGCTACTTATTAGATATTTATTTAGTGTCAACAAGGATTAAAGCAATTAGGAAATATCGAGGTGTTCAGCGCTCAATATCTGTGTTTGTTAGAAGCGTGCATGTTATGCGCGATATATATTTATTATACTTAAACTCGTAATAAATTATGAAAAATCCGGCCTTGACTGGCGTGATGTCAGAACGTGATGCTAGATCTATTTTCTTCTGACGTAAGCTTCCAAAATTCCATTGTTCGAGATCAACCAGCTAAAACTATTAGATCATTGCTGAGTTATTAAGCTTCAAAATTAATCACGTCTTTTTTAACAGCGATTGGTTGGCTTCCTTACCAAAACCAAACAATTCAAGAAACGTTATCTTCGAAATATTTCTTCCTTTGTGACAAAAATAACACATGCAGCGAGTCACCAATCGTGTAGACTACCCAAAACTTAAACGCGTTGTTTTCATGGTTGAATATCAGTTAAGAATGATTTAAAACCCTACGCTTTTAAATGAAAGTAAGTCAAGGTCAGTGAGAGTGCTGGAGACGAAAACACTTAAAATATTACTCGAATGAAACTCAAAACGAAATAAAGAAAAAAACTAATTGTTTTTTTATTTTGTGAAGTGATAGTTTATGTTTGCCTCGGTCAGAATGAAGAGAAAAACAGAGAAGCGTGTATGTACATTTCTTTAGACCGTGACAAAAATATGCGAAAACTTATAGTAGAAGACAATAAAGAGCCACGTTACCACTCATTCTGTAAGAAATTCAGAATTTCACAATAACTATTCAAGAGGAAGAAACAACGAACGAGAGGCCCTTCAACTCCTATGAGTTTAAAATCATGAATGTTCTCGATATTTTCATACCTTGTAGACCATTTCAGCAGTAGAAATGAAAACAAACCACGACATTCACTTGTCTAAGGTCCACTACTTGTCTTGATTTCCTTGGTTACTTGTTTAGACTACCTTACAGCACACACACGAGATCTACCAGTAATTCATCCAGTCACGAGTGTAGATAAGGTACTGTACAGCTATTGTACCGAAAACCGTTATGGCCAGTGTCTATGATATCTGCATTATTGACACTAGTACTATAGTATTCATGTACTCAAATCTAACTCAAGTCTTGGAGAACATGACATTCAGTCGGTTCTACTCATCTAATAGAGTAGAATGCCGTGTTATATTTATAGTAGTGAATAGTTTTGAAGTTCGAAATGTTTAGCATTTCCGTTAGCCGGTGTTCTGTCATGTGAAGGATTGTTATTGGATATTTATTTCATCACGTACACTGTCTTGTTCCACTTTTTTGAACCTATTTCGTGGGCGTTGCTTTGGTTAACTCGATTTACTGCGTAACAATCATGTGAGGGAGTATCACACTAACTCTATAGAGATAGATTAGTAAGGTGTTAGTCAGTTGTAAACTACGTTTGTTTGACGATCCTGTAAATCAGTGGGTTTCAAACAGAACTGCTTTTCATATTCGAAGCATTATGTAATAATCATATGAGTGAGTCGTATACATGCTAACATGCTGATACTTCGCGCTGCTATCTTTTTTCTACTTTGCAAAGTAGTACACTTTTTTGCATCTAAAGCACTGAACGAAACCGTAAACGTTAAACAAAAAGATAAGTGCAAACTAGTGTTTATACCACTATCCGTGAAAAAGGGAACAAATTTGTACGAGATTGTAAAAATTAGTGCAAAGTTTTGTAGATCTACTGAACTTAATAATTTGTACAAATATGTAAAATTTCTTGCAACGTTTTTCACTGATATATGGTAAATACTCCACTTATTAACTCAGCAGAGAAGTGATTAATCTTATTTTGAAGTTTTTTTAAGTGATTTATGACTGATACATAGGATGAATAGACTATATCGGAAAGGCGTCACTCGAACATCAGGAACTGAACTGAACAGGTACAAGTTCAAGTGAATTTGTTTTTAATCAGAAAAAATGGTAGCAGTTTTACAGGGAAGTCTTTTTTACAAGCTCAGTCTTTGTCTACTGTTTGAATAGCTGGTCAGTAGTCAAGCTAACGATTTTCAAAACACTCAAGGAAATGTGTTACATCTAGTTTCACCCAATTCACCCCACGTGGTTTAGTACGTCGTCGGATAAATCACGATGACATAGCGATTAATCATTCAAGTGACATGAACGACATTATTAACGTCAGAAATTGAGAATTGTCAAGATTTTATTGCATGGTATAGTATTGCTCGTTTTGGTTAAGAATACTGTTCAGGCGATGAGGCGCCATTGTTTTTCAAAAAAGTCTACCGATAATTATAATGCCATTTACAATTATGATGAAAAACACGACTCGTCTTCAACACTAGAGTAAGTTTGAAAGATAAAAAAAAAAGGAGTAAAATAACTAATAAGATAAAAAGGTTAAGAATAAACTATGAATCGAAACAAGAAGACTACTCTAACGAAGTATAAACTTTACTAGGTAAGAGAAGTAACAAGCTGAGTCGTGTGTTGTGGAATAGAGATGCGGTGCGCAATGCAAAGAAAATGTTTCGGATCTATTGGAACCAAAGTTAAATTAAGTAGAATATCCATACATCTAACAAATCTCCCCGGCATTCGATCACTAATAATCATGATGAAGTGCAGAGAATGTTTAAAAAACTTTTTCTTTTGAAGCAGAATAATAATATCCGCCACCCGGTTAGCTCAGTTGGTAAGAGCGTCGGTCTGTTGTGCGGGAGGTCGTGGTTCAAGCCTCGGCCGGACCAACACTCAGGGTCTTAAAATAACTGAGGAGAAGGTGCTGCCTTTGTAATAATATCTGCAAATGGTTAGACCTTCAAGTCTTCTCGGACAAGGACTTTAAACCGTAGGCCCTGTCTTCTAACCCTTCCTAACCTACAGTAAAAATGGGGGACATAAAAGAACCACTGAGGACGTAAAAAGAAACCCTGGCAGTGACCACCCTCAGTGCCTACACTTCATACTAACCATCTCTCATGCTTGTAAATTGCAAAAAGCAATCTGTCATTCACAACTCCATGTAAAGCGCCTTTGATTATATCCACATATTAAAGGGCGCTATATAAATCATAAATCATAATCATAATATCAACTGACTGTTTAACTCTACGCCTGCATCTACCTAAGATTCTTAACTTGTGAACTAAGAAACTCCTTATATACAACCTGAGTAAACGTACACACCCACTCTAGAATGATTTTCACATGACCGTGAAAGAAAATAGACCATTTAGTTTGTAATAGTTGATAAAGAACAAAAGAAAATCATTGGTTTAGAGTCTACTACTAACTATTAGTTTGCCTATTCTTTCACGATCATATGAAAATCACTCTAGTACTAGAGGAGTATAAGGATCTCTTCGTATTACTGGCACATGTTTCCATGACAACACGGTATAATAGTAGTGACGTCCTATCTTACTTTCTATTCTTTTCTTTTTGTTATTTTGTTTTTGTTTGTTTTTGTTTGTTTTTGTTTGTTTTGTTTTGTTTTGCTCTCTTACTTTTGCTGTTTTTTATTTATTCATTCGTTCATCCTTCTTTTTAAATCTATTTCTCCTTCTGCATGCAACTTACTACCAGACAAACAATATTCAAAAATATGTATATATATTTTCCAAAAAACCTTTTCTTTGACGACAACGTGGATGACATTCACGAGTACACTCGAAAGCTGCTTGTTGTAGAAGTGGGTAAAGTAAGTGTTTTTAGGGCCCACAATTGCAAATTCAATCATATTCATGATATCTACTCCTACCCAGTCCTTCAAAAGGTGGATCACTCCGAGTATTGTTGCTTCTTATTTACCTTGATAACGTTCAAACAACAGCTAACTTTTAATTTAAGGATAGTGCGCATATCAGTGCTAGACTATATCCATATTTGTTAATCTATATTCACTTCAGAAAGGCATGGTTGCATAAGTCTTATTATACTCAAGGCGCACAGGTAGTTTATTTGAATTGTACGCGCATTCCTATGAAAGATAGAATATATAGCAAGTAATTTCTTGTGTCCTATGCTGTGCACTTTTCTGGGGTGATGTAGAAGTGATGTAGAAAACTTAAAATAGAAACATGAAGTCTGCCTAACAAAGATTTGTATTTATTTTACTCTATTAATATATATTATTCTAATAAGGTTTCTCTGGGGAGACATATGATGACAGTCCTAACAGTAGAAGATTAGCTTTTTAATGTAACCAGACCAAGAGGTAAATGTAAACAACAGGTTTTCGAGTGCTCGCACTAAACCCGTGAAACGAATACCTAATTTTTAGTACTAAATAGTGATAATCAAACAAAGGATTCTGTATGAAATAGTACTAATTAGTACTAAATATTGTTCACGGGTTTATTGGGTGCACTCTATCGTGTTGCGCGCATTGCTTTTACATATGTTTGCAAGTTAGAACATTACCGGCCTGACCCGATAACACTCAAGTATGATGAGGTTATAATTGAATCAATTACTAATAATATCAGGCAATTCCTCTCAGTACTAGTGTTTAGTATGATTGTTATGTGTGCTGAGAGACTTATGTTGAATCAGTGGACTTGTTCATATTCCTCTTTTACACCGGAGAAAAACTAACGGTCATAACATTTGTAACCGTACTTGTTGTATTCAAAACACCAACACAGTCCCAACTAGTAACCATTAGTCATTCTTATTCACTTGTGGTACTCAACACACCAACACAGTCCCATCTAGTAACCACTAGTCATTCTTATTCACTTGTTGTATTCAACACACCAACACAGTCCCATCTAGTAACCACTAGTCATTCTTATTTACTTGTTGTATTCAACACACCAACACAGTCCCAACTAATAACCACTAGTCGTTATCAGCTTTTAATATTCTTACACAAGTGAATATAATAAATCAGGCGCTCTCATTGGTTACAATTTACGTCTTATGCTGCTATATATAGCGCGCACGCGAACGCCTGTTTGTTGATTTGTCCCGCTTGCAGAGATAAAAAACATTAAAAAAAACAACTCTCTCTCTCTCTCCATTATTTATTATATTCACTTGTGTTAAAAATACTCAAACAAATATTCCTTTTATTGACGTTATGTGACACGAAAAACTAACTTGTTACAGTGAAAATACGTAAAGTAGTAAAGAAGTGACGATTATAATGAAAACTAACACAATGCAGGCCTAAGGGTATTTCAAAGGAATTTAGCAATATAATGAAAAAACAATCGAAGTGTGTGCAGAACCCTTAAGAATTCCGCTATATAAATAAGCTCGAAGCGTGGGCAATTACTATACTCTGGTTCGCAATGACATCAAATGCTGTATTTACTTCTTTCACGACGACTCGATTAACTCTAACTAAAACTTATGAAATATCAGATTAAGAGCCAATTTTAATTTTGAACTCCAAAAACAATATAGCCCTTTATATTGTTTTTGTTTAGTAATATATGCAAAATAAGAATAAATTTATCTTCCTGCATGGCTAATCAAGGCAATATTGACAAGATGCCGAAGCTAATGTCGGCGCCATCATGGCGGGGACAGATTTTTACTTATCTGAAACACAGATACATAAGAATTCCACAAAATGAAAGTCATTTCCACAACTAAAAATGGTCTCCTTATTTTCACATTTACTTAGTGAGATGATATTTTTGTGGCACACTTGAAGATTATTGTCTCTTACGGTTCGCTAGGGAAAAATTCCGAAAAATGTCAAAATATGCTGTTCTTGCATATTTTTTTTTTGTGGTTTTACTCATAAATTCAAACTTGTGCATAACCTAACTATTCTTTTTCCAGATAAATGGCTAAATCATCAAAACTTTAAAAAATATTTAGAACTTTGCTCGCGATATATACTTTTCTATATTATCTTTTCAGGACTGATTCTAATGCTCGAAGTTTGGTAGTTTTGCCATTAAATATAGGAAGTTTACAAGGTAGTAATGCATAAGCAAGAGGTCTAATCTTTAAACTTATAGTTTATTATGTTAACTGTGTGAGTTTTGTTTGTAACTAACTGCACCATTCCATAGCGTGATAGAGAAAAAAGCTTTGTGTTTGGAGAACAAAAGCTGCAAAGTATATCAACAAGACCGCAAAGTGTTTAATCCTCTTCATATAAGATCAAGACAGGCAGGGGGGTGGGA